GGCCAGGGGATGCGCTGGCAAGAAAGGGAGAGAGCCATGGGATCCAGGAATCTGCCATGTCAGTCAAGCTCGGAGCGCAGGCGGCGCATCGGCGAAAAATACTGTGTTACTTAATGGCGCCACACTGCGGAGAGGGAGGGAGGAAAGAACACGCGTGGGAAGAGGAGAAGCAGGAGGGGAAGGAGCACTATACGAGAGTCGACGCCACATATCCACCCACCTGGAGTCATCACCCCCTCCTGAGCCGCCCGAGATGAGGCGGCCTGCCACCTCTCCTCACCGAGCTGGACTGGACCCGTCTGGGCCCCGGGTTAGTGCCCGTCCTCCTCCTCCTTCTCCTCGTCCTCCGCCTCCTCCTCCTCCTGGTCCTCCTCCTTCTCCTCCTCCTCCTCCATTCCTCTTTCTGAAAAATAACTCCTCCCTGTCGCACCCCGAGGCCGGTCGAAAGAGCGGGCTGGGCGTTTCTCCTGGGACTTTCTCACCATGTATCACCCTGAAGTCTAGAGATTGGCAACGGTTCCACAAATTGAGGACGACTGGTTTTCAAAGTGTGACTCTCGCCGTAGCGCCGCACGCACTCGTCTTACAATTTTGCAAGTTTCACGGGATCCCATGGTGGTCAACGTACAAGAGAAGCAGTTTTGAAAGGAATGGGGATTGTGAGGGCGCAAACAGGTACGTTGATGCGAGGTGTTGAGATTCCAGGACTGGCGTTATGTTACGGTTCAGGATCGTGAAGACGCAGCAGTCAAATTGATTCAGGGCGTTGGAGTCACGGAAACGGTGTTTTGGCACGCTTCAGGGTATTCAAACGGTTCACCCAGCGAAGCGGTTCCCTCAATGGAAATGATCCCTTGCGTGGGCCTGTGAAGAGGAAGCGTGGAAGGAGGGTTGGGTTTACACCGGTCCTACACTCGCTGATACATCGGCGATGAATCGTCGACGTCGGCGATGCATCGGCGACGTCGGCGTGGAGAAAAGCAGGCTCCACGTCGTGCCACATCGGCGATGCATCGCCCATGTGGCGCGATCCTCCGACCCCTATCTACTCGGATTCCATCTAGGAGGCCTAGAGCCCGCGTATGTTTCCCTGGGGATCGGCGACTCACTGTGTCTGTGTGCATGTTCCCCCTCCTGAACCAGCAGCCATCTGGGGGGAGGGGGGGCCGCGTGCTCCTCCTGGCCCTGACGGTCGACACAGCCGAGGTCGGAGGACCGAGGGTATCGAGGGTCGGATAAGAGGCCTACACCACCATCGACATGTCCGAGGTCGGAGGACCGAGGGTATCGAGGGTCGGATAAGAGGCCTACACCACCATCGACATGTCCGAGGTCGGAGGATCGAGGGTATCGAGGGTCGGATAAGAGGCCTACGCCACTATCGACATATCCGAGGTCGGAGGATCGAGGGTATCGAGGGTCGGATACGAGGCCTACACCACTATCGGGGTATCGGGGGTCGTGGGAGGCCCAGAGGGCATCGAGGGCATCGAGGGTCGTGGGAGGCCTAGAGGTTGACACCAGCACCAGTGTCGGCGGTGCGCCCCCCACCGAGGGCAGATGCTCACGATATCGGTGGTGGTGCTAACGTGTTGGCAATGTGCTGGCGTCCTGGGCGGCCGAAGCATTACCACCAGCACTGAATGTCGGGATAAGCTTCCCCTGGTTGAGGCATGCCCGTGGGTTGGGGCTGGTGCGCACTTCCAGGCCTCCAGGGTCGAGTGCCACGACAGCCCGTCCTCCTCGGATCGAGGATCGAAGATCGAGGTCCCGAGGCGCCGCCGGGGGGGGCCCAGCGCGGATCCAAGAAATCCGCGCGGAGCGCCAAAAGCTTATGTTTATGTTGTGTTTCTTCCTCGAGGAAACGCACCATCACCACCACCACCACTCAGGTGCGGGGCAGCGATGGGGGGAGCTGGCCCAAGTAGGGGGGGGGGAACATCGGCCCGGAATGGGCGAACCATCGCCGAAGGATCGGCGAAAGGCCCCCGATAGTGGACTCACGCGTTCCTGGGCGGAGTGGGCTATCGGGCCCACATCGGTGCTACATGGGCGACTGGGGGTCGATGCATTCCTACAGAGCCTATCCCCCTAACGTTGCCCCTGACTAGAGTGTTCTGACTAGGAGGGTGGAGGCAGCAGAGGTCAGGGGTGGCAGTGGTGGTCTATACTTGATACCTCTCCAGGTGCTCTCGCGGGGCACTCTGCACACCTGCATCCCGCAGATCGGCTCATTCTGCGCCCACCCAGGTGGTGGTGGTGGTGCTCTTCACATTCGTAACTCCCGATTTGGTACGCCCGAATGGTACAGTCATTCCGTACCATAAGGATGTGCGACAAGAAATGCAAGGGCCTGTAAAGGCGGTATCAAAGCTTTTCGAGCGGGGTGCGGCCAGCGAAAATGGCCAAGGATGGAGCAATGAGGCAAGAATGCAAGGGTACCCTTGGGAAGATGCCCATCCTTGTTATGTGAGTTGACGGTGAAACGCACCATGCCCAACAACAATTGTGATCCAAATCCGACTGCAGCAGCTGTGCGGCAGGCGACCCTTGGCCTCATGCGCCCAACATCCGCGACGACGCCGACGGCGGTGCTCCCATTCTCAACACTAGAAGAAACATCAACGTTAAACATTAACATTAACTACATAAACGTCAAGGCATTCTCAAAACATTAACATTCAACATTCTCAAAACTGCAGAAGCATCAACTTTCGGCGCTCCGCGCGGATTCCTTGGATCCGCGCCGGCACGCTCCGCGCGCCAGGGAGGGGGGAGTCGGCGCAGATCCAAGAGATCCAGATGTGTTTACGGCGGGTTTGCTGTCGGCATCCTCCCATTGCAGTCTCGATGGCACCGGCAGATCGTTCGCCCCTACGCTTGCTGCAAGCTCGAACCCAAAAGGCACTTGAGCCCCCACTTAGGGGAGCAAAAAGTGACATAAACATAAAACTCGGAGGTCCGCGCGGATTTCTCGGATCGGCGCTGGGGCCCCCTCCCTGGCGCGCGGAGCGCGCCAGGGGCGGCGCCGGAGGCGCCGCCTGGGCCCCAGCGCCGATCCGAGAAATCCGCGCGGACCTCCGAGTTTTTATGTTTATGTCACTTTTTGCTCCCCTATTGCTCCAAGCTCAAACCCGAAAGGCACTTGAGCCCCCACTGGGGAACGAGGAGAGGAGGGGGAAGAGTACAGCAGAGGCAAAGGCACGGACGGGGAAGCACGGCACTGGGCTCCTGGGGGGTGAGAGGGCCAGACGTCTAGGCGTAAGTCGGGCCTGTCCCCCTCCCCTACAGGGGATTTTCAATGAAAAATTAAACATACCCCCAAAATAATCCAAAACTAATCCAAAACTAGTCTGGGGACTATGTTATGAATATGTTTTGACCTTTGGGGGTATTTGGGGGGTATTTGTTTATTTTTCGTCGAAAATCCCCGTGTATGGGGACAGGCCCGACTTAAGTCTAGGCAAAGAACTGATTCCCAGACCCCCGACGTCATGATTTTTTCATAACGTCGACCCCCAGAGTTCTCAACCCATTCCCCGGGGCTGGTTTCTCATCCCGAATCGTGTCATGGCGGACCCGAGGGCCGCTAAGGGCCTCCGGAGACAGAAAATTCGGAAAAACCTCCCGTCATGTTTTCGTCACTGCCCGAGGGGGTCTGCATTCGCTCCGCCCCCCGCGGTCCCAGCGCCGAGCTGTCCGGCGCCGGCAGCGGCGGCCCAGCGCGGCTGAAGCCAAACGGCGGCGTCGCTGGGCCGGCGCGCACGGGCGAGCGCGGGGGCGGCGGAGGCCCGGGGCTGCCGCTGTCGCAGGGGGGCGGCGGCGGCCCCGCGCGGCTCGGGCCGGACGCGGGCGGGGGGGCGCCGGGCCTGGGGGGCGGCAGGCATACAGTGGAGGCCAGTCCACAAGAAACCTTCCACACGAAAGCCAACCCTGAGACCCCAGGACATTGACAGTTGGTGTGGGAACGTCACGCCTTCCACAGCAGAACCATCGAAACCCAAGAAACCAAGAAACCCAGGGCACCCTGGAGGCAAGCAGGGTGTTTCTTGGCATTGGCCTCTACTGTAGAAGAAAAGAAAGCGCCATGGACATAAGCATTTGGCGCTGCGCGCGGGTTTCTTGGATCTGCGCTGGACCGCCCTCGTCCTTGCGCGTTTTCTTCTTCGAAGGCAGCCCACGGGTCAAGAGCATCATGCTTGAGGCCCGTGCCGCAGCATTCGGCGGCGGCGTTACCCAGCGAGGGCCCCGAGAAGCCGAGAATAGCAGACAAGCTTTCGGCACGATTTTCCATTACCCGAGGGGGTCTCGGCGGCTGGAGAGCCCGAGGGAGACGAGCGCGAGGGCACGCGTCCAAAGCGGGGGCGGCGATCGGCCACGTTGTGCCAGCTCTTCGCTCTCCTGCACCAAGGAGCGCACCGTGCTCTGGCCGAGCGGCCCCCGACCACGCCCCGACGGCTCCGCGGAGCGAGGCGGCAGCCCCTCCGGAGCCCACCCCCGCACACACACTCACTCACTCACTCACACACTCACTCACTTACGCACACACACACACTTACGCACACACACACACACACACACTTACGCACACACTTACGCACACACACACACACACACTTACGCACACACACACGCACACACACGCACACACTGTTTCGCGTCGGCGGCTGAGCAGAGGGACTGCGCTGGCGAAAGAGCATAACTACAGCGCACGAGTGCGAATTTAGCCGCGATGCACGGGGGGATCAACGTCCCTCTGACGGGGACTCCGCTAACGGGCACTTTGGACAGTAGCCCAGCGATTCCAATCCTCCCCAATGTGGGCAACGCTACAATGCCACAACGAGGCCCTAAAGTGGCAACGTTCGGCACTTTTCCAAAGTACCCGTT